GACCAGAGAATTCGTTGTACGACCAGAAAAGTTTGTTGTACGACCAGAGAATTAATAGAGAGCTTTTTGATTTGTATTCGTTAACTTGTGATAATCCAGTTTAGTTAAATTCGAATTAAATTCTGATAAGCATTTTTTAAAGCTTTATATGTAAGTGAGCGAATTATTAATGTAGTTTACATTACGTTCAATATATCACTCAAGATTTGATTTTCATATTTGCTTTCTTTTCGCATCTTGTCTTATTATATTTTCTATAGTGTTTGTATTCTTGATGAGCGTAGAATTCTAAATCGACGCCCGTTGCCGCATATATGCTACGGTCGGATGGGAAATAGAAAGATCATCCACATATTTATGACAGTTGATGATTTAAAACCCGAATGTTTTCAGGCCGGCTGATGTAGCTAGTCCCGATTTAGCTATTATAGAGGATGATCTCAACTTGGAGGAATTAATGAAACAGAAAGCTCTTCTTCAAGCTCGATTAGGTGCTTACATGTCTGATACTGAAGGTGATGACAGTCGTTCGCAGCGTGAAATGGAACATACTCTACCTGTGAAATGTACTGAAAGTAGTGTAAGAACAAATACAGCAAGCGTAACGAACATACCACCACTGCAAATAGTAAACATAATTTAAATAGAATTTCTAAAGATAATGAATCCGATGTTATATTATTGGATGATTCTAGCGGTGATCGTTGCACACCGGAACGATTTAACAGACGGCAGAACACGGTAAGGCAAATGGACGAAAGTGGCGAGAAGAGAACAGCTCATGAGACATCACCGTTGTATGTAGATAGACTAACAGATCGACAGATTCCGATAGTCATCATCGTAGCTCATGTACAGAACGGCAGGACATGGAACGGCGCGAAATCGAGGGAATAGGGATTCGTTGTTGCGTTATCATTGCAACATACGCTGTAGCTAATTAGAAATTGACCGCAAAGCGCTTTGGCTCCATTTAAGTTCGCTTTGGTGTTGCACAATTCGCTGCTGTGACATCTGGTGTACCAGGCGAAATTTTTGTATGATATTGGTTTGGATGATATGCCAACACCACATTATCTACATAATCGACATTTAATATGGACATCAGAGCATTTGCCGCATCCTTAACACACTCTTTGGAATTTTTATTCATAAACAATTTCACTCCAATACTTATTTCATTTCGGGCATTTTCCGTAATTTTTTGTTTCAATTCTGCATTAGCACGCAACACTTGTCCATCGCTTTCGCGAAACTCGATTTGATCATCAATTGCTAGTCGAGATTCCTAGCCTTCGGCTACTCAGGCGGATAATTTCAATATAATATGCCGGAAATTGGCCGAAATATCAAAAAAAAAACCATGTATATTTTTTTTTGGTTCGTTACTGATAAATTGGCGGGTTTTCCATACAATGATAATAAAAAATGTAATAATGCATGTTATAACTGGCTGATAATTCGTGCATACATCTTACTTATAGATGTGCTAAGCTGTTTTTTAAACATGTTAATTTTTTTTTCTTGTATATCTTTATTTGTTTGAATTGGATTAAAGGCCAATACAAAGAACTAGGTGGTAGACTATGTAAGGAACTGAACCGTACAATGTCCGTTAAGAAGGTAAAATGGGCTTTACAAGACGTCAGAAAGGGTCTGAGACGACCTGAAAGAGGATCGATTTGTCGTACGGTTCATAGCGCGTACATGTATGAATTGGGGTTTAAGCGGGTTGCGTAGACAATTAAAGAACAACCCTACCGTGACAGAAAAATAGAGGAAAGTATCCGTTTAGAGATGAAAGCCTTCTGTGGGTTTGAGGAGGGGGCGTTATTAAACAGACCTATACCATCCATAGATGATGTGTTGGCAGGTCTGATAACAATTACAAACGACCCTAGCACTGATGGGACTAGTGCGCCGAGTAGTCCTATCATGCCGAGCGTTGAGATAGTGCCGAAAGAAACTTCAGGGAGCGCAAGGACATCAAGTTAACGTCATTCTAAGGTAAATGTATTAAGATATATTTCAAAATCAAATGATAGGTTAATATTTATCTCTATTTTATCCCTATTTCTATTTAATTTTAGATAAAAACTTGTAGTAAAAGCCGCCCCCAATTAAATTCCGCCTCATTGTGGAAGATGTTCAGAGTATCACACAAGCATTCACATGCAGTACTTTTATTGGCCAATGGTAACTTTGTGTCTTAACGTTTTTTTTCTATGCCATTTTTGCAAAATATATATCAGATCAATGTTTATTTATGTACATGTTCCAATAATGCAACTTTGTGGATGTAGTTTATGTATCGTTAACAAAAAATCTATTTTTATACTCATTTATACTTATATTTGAAGGACGGGGGAGAGCGCTACTATAGATGAGCCCCTCGACCAATTTGACCCTATTTTTAATACCAACATGAGCGCTGGAATATCGAATATTTTTGCCAAATTTGGAATCGACTTTTTATTTTTGCGGCCAGGAACGTGCTTAAATCGATTCAGAGTTTGATGCCGAACAAGAATACAGCTTTCGTCGGCTCGGAAGCTTCCTTCTGAGCGTTGCAAACATTTTGACAAGATGAACGCTGTGCCTTGGTAGTGAGTAAAACATCTTATATTGGTCGCGCAAACACTAAAGCATTTTACATTCAGCTGCGTCCAATTGACTCACCAACGTTATTTCACCAAGGATCATTTGTTAGAACGCTGAATTTTTACCAGTTTTAAATTGGATGCACTACGTTCTCCGCCAGAAAGACTGCAAAGCATCAGTACCTAATGGAAATTTCTGGGCGATTAAAAAGGGAAAATAAAAATGGAGGTACAGCGAACTTGACCCTCAAATTCCCAACATTTTCTGATCAATCTGTATCGGCATTATTTTGTAAAATTTTTCTGTTTCTACATTCCCCGTGTAAGGTAATGTACTAATATAATAATACTCAAAAAAACCCACGACCGCAGAACACACTCAGATATTAGTCATATGACTTATTTCTTATATTCTGAAATTCCGAACTTAGTTTATAGCACATGTCCCACCTGTTGGACATAAAATATATATCGATATACATCGAATGTAACTTTAAAATCAAAAAATGTATAATGCCATATCATTAGCGGAAACCTGTTCATTCAATCTTTATTTTTTATATTTTTCAATTGCTTCTAAAAGCTCATCGGCCTCCTCCCCCGTTTTAACACGTAACAACAAGGAGGTTGGCTTATCAGTTTCTGGTGTTGGCAAACAAAACAGCATTACATTGTTTTTACCCATGCGTTTTACAGGTAGGCCACAGCTAAGAATTAAATTAACCAATACTATACCAAGATTATTGTTTGCTCGCACCAGCAGATGAGTTTTTTCTGTCGATTCTACCTGCTTTAAGTACAAAGTGCCAATACCTTTATCCGCATAATTACCATTTTTCTTAACAAAAACTTTACACCTTTTTGAATAGAAAGCGTTCTCCTCGATTACTGCTTTAAATTCCGTTTTTGGTGGCTGATCATCTTCATCTTCTTCCTCGTCAGATGCAGTTGCTGATTGTGCGGCTGGCGCTTTGCTATTATTAAAGGAAAACGTTTTAAGATTTACAGCGTTTTCAACAGACGGTTTAGCAAAACCGAAACTCTTTACAGATGGATCGGCCTCACTTGTTTTTTCAGAAACGAAATTGAAGGTGGTTGTTGGGTTAATTTTTACGGCATTTGCTTCTTGCGACCTCTCCTTCACACCAAAGCCGAAACCATTTACTTTACTGTCAGTTAGCTTTGAATTGGTAAGTGAAATTGGCGGCATAACTGTAACACTATCTACTGTGGTAGCGTTTATATTCGAACCGCTTAACTGGAACGTATTTGGAGGCGTTATTGTTGCCTTTGTAACGCCAGAGCCCGTTTGAACATCGCTTATTGGATCGCTGCCTATTTGTGCGTTGTCTTTTTCAATGTCTTTTAAGAACTTTTGGTAATCTTTAAAAATTGGCGTTAATATACATACTGGATTCTTATCCACGTGGACTTTAATCCAGGCACTAACAGCCTGATTTAACCCTTTGAGTTTCCCATAGTACTCCGAAAGATTGTCAGTTAATTTTGAAAACTCCATGTTGGATTCTGCACTGGAGGTAAACGAAAATGAAGGTGTTATTGCTTTAAATTCACCCTTGTGGCTACTTTGGGGGCCTTGTATGTGTTTAGAAATATTGGTGCCAGAAGAAAAATTACTGGACGCAAGAGTGCTGGTAGGGCCATTTGCCGACACTGGCAGTTTCGAGATGAACGCAAAAGGAGGAGTTTTGGAAGTACCAGTTTCCTTGCACAGGCCAGCAAAGGAACCAAATATACCTTTGGTGGAATCGGCGCCTTCGGTTGGATTTGTGATGCTTACATGACGTTTAGCCTTCTTTATGACACGATTTTTTAATTCATCTTGGGAAGCTGGTCGAAATTTACCACGCTCTTCAGGCTCTTCCTCCTTATCCCAATTATCGTGATTTAATTCCGTGGCGGCTGGACGTTTTGAAGACATATTTCTTGAGCTAGCTTTTTGAAAATTACTTTTGATTAAAAAGGCTTAGTATCCCAATAATCAGCCATAAATGCACATAAAGAAGCTACAACAGAGTTGCCGATGCTTAATACTGGAATTTTTATACTAAACAAAAACAAGGATTACGTAAACCCGAAGTTTTTGTAATGTTATACGAATAAACATATATCCTGAAATCTCAGATCTGCAAGATATATATATATATATATATATCTAAAGTCCAGGGAAGGCGTATTTAAAAGGTAATATTATCTTACGTTAGCAAAAAAACATGGTTTTGCTTTCGACATTTGTACAACAAATAAAAAAAAAACGTAGTGTTAAGGTTTCTATATACGGTAGTACAAATTTTCGAGTTCACAAACAATTTTTTCAGATATGTCAAGAACAAATTAAAGACACGGTACTACTACAAAATACCCTTTTCTCTTTGAGCTCTGACACCTCGTCGTTAAAAATCAAAATTTCAAACCCAAACCAGGACAAACCAAAATATGAAAATATGGCTACAAATCTGAAGATTGTCCCATTATTTTTTCTGAAAACTTGATGTAAAAAAAAAGAGTTGAAACGAATTTTTATTTTTTATTAAACAGACAAATTTTAATTTATTGAAAATCGGTTGTCGCTTACTAAATAATATTTTTTCCGAATTGCCTGTAGTCTATAAGCTTCGTATTTAATGGAAACAAGAGAAAGTGGAGAGTGGCAGTTGAATATGATGAACAAGGCTTGGAAACGTGATAAGGGATGAATTAAAAAGTACATATAGTTCGATACCATGTTAATCTTTGCGTATTTGAAGCCAATGCGTCCACTGTTCTTTACGACAGTGTTTTGTTGGGATTTCTTTAGAGGATCACGTTGGCTTGATTGCGGGCAAAATTCGTATTTTTAACCTATAAAGGACAGTTATTACAATTTTTCACATATTAGTCGAGACTCTTTTATATATATCACCGAAATTCATGGAGGTAACGATGTGAATAGGGAATTGTCGCCGTGATTATCGGGATACAGTTGATTGTCGCCAAGAGGCAAATCATGTATCGTTGACGCCAGCTTTCCAATATTTATCGTTAAATTTTCCGTTAGAATTCGTCAATAACTGAGGGAAGCCTAAAAAATGGAAGACAAATTGACCGTTTTGTACAAACAAACCATAATTGCTAAACAATAACAAGCACGCAAAATTAAATGAAAAGAAAGGTATCGAATATTAGTGGCCATAAAATTATAAATGAATTTTTAGGTTGAAATGATCGTAATCGATTTACAAGAAATTTACATTTGATTGCTGCGAACTAGTGAAAATTCCTTGTAAATGTAGGTAACATGTGTTCTGATTCGAAGATTATAAAGTGGTTACATTTCTTACCAGTTGGCAGTATGAAATGTAACTAGTAAACGGAGTAAAGAAGATACCCTATAAGCAAACAAAAATTCGCATGTGAATTATTTGAAAAAATAACTGCAAGATGTGTTACGATACTGCAGTTAAATGAAGTAGTCATTGGAGTGTGCTACTGGTTTGACAATACGAACAATCTTAAATATTTTTTTCTTTCAAAAATTGTAACTTCAATAAAATTTTGAAGGAACAAATGGCTGCAAAATTATTTGAATTAAGGATCGTTCTGAAAAAGCTGAAAATTATCAACGACGTTCATTGTAACGGCGCCGAAATCTGAATAGACTGAAGGATAAGCTAGCAATTAAGCTAAATCCATTGAATTTGATGCGCGGAAATACGGTGGATTGACGAAGAGTAAATTAACCAACATTTTATTAGTTATTTTATTATTTTTATGTTTGGACAAATACAAAGTGAAAAAAAAGTGGGGAAACCGCATCTTGTCCTTGGCGGTCTTCCATGTGAAGAAGTTTTACCGAAGGCCAGAGAGGTCGGAATTCTAGAAAGAAATGTTTACATTTGCGTAAATAAAAAGATTTTACTAACACACACACATTCAGGTTACTTATGCACATGTTACAAATATTTATTTATTTATTCGTTTTGAGATAAGTTAATGGGAGGAAAATCTTGCAAATCTTTTTTGGCCCACCTTGTTGTAATACTTTATTGTCCTTCGCGGTTTTCTATATTTGCCTCTTCAAATTAACCAACATTTTATTAGTTATTTTATTATTTTTATGTTTGGACAAATACAAAGTGAAAAAAAAATGGGGAAACCGCATCTTGTCCTTGGCGGTCTTCCATGTGAAGAAGTTTTACCGAAGGCCAGAGAGGTCGGAATTCTAGAAAGAAATGTTTACATTTGCGTAAATAAGATTTTACTAACACACACACATTCAGGTTACTTATGCACATGTTACAAATATTTATTTATTTATTCGTTTTGAGATAAGTTAATGGGAGGAAAATCTTGCAAATCTTTTTTGGCCCACCTTGTTGTAATACTTTATTGTCCTTCGCGGTTTTCTATATTTGCCTCTTCAATGAACGAGCCTAAAATGAAGTTGCGATACATTACACTGAATATGTGCGCACTCGTTAGCGTTGAAAAATCTTTTTTTCTCCTCTCAAATATTCCAACTCAAATATTCACATATATTTTCATATAACTAATTTCGTACAAAGTTTAATTTTTATAATCAAAAATAATTCAATTTTTAATAGCTGTTTATATGTTCTTTTTTTGCGGTTGTTTTTAAGCTGCTTTAAAGGAAAGATTTCTGGTAAATTTTTTTGCTTTATTTTCAAACTAATGCAAGGTTGTTCGTATGGTATTGCCATCTTCTCAACCCGAAATTACAAGTCATCTTCTCTAATTTTGTACTGAAACAATATATCAATTAATTCCTCAAAGGGGTGACACAATGACACGGCAATGATTAAAGAGTCGAACACATAGCTGGCTCACGTTGCTACAACAATGCTATGCAATGCATGTGACTAGCAATTGTTACGTTAACGTCAAGGAGAAGTGATTGGTGAAAAATTTCTTGGAAAAGTGTTTTTTAAAACAAAAACGGAATATTTGGGATGCGCAAGACGATTTTAATTACTGTTGGTAAGTTCACATAATATATGTAATTGATTTGCCATCCTTAATACCAGTTCACTTCTGGTTTTATATGAAAAAATTTGTAAAAAATATTTGATTATTTGGATTATGGTAATAGGAATCATACCTAATATACAAATGAAGATTTGGAAGTAAAGCGAGTAAAGGAAGTGAGTTGAAGAGTAGATTTGGTCTTATTACCACTACCGAAAGGAATTGGGTTTTCGCAACATTGACCATTTGGAAGTCAGAGCAGCTAACTTAGCTCATTACTCGTTTTTGAGCGCCATATGCAAGGCGATGCTTCGCTGTTTAACATTAACCAAGCGCATCAGGTGGTGCTAAGAAAATGACACTTAATTCTACCGACCAGATGGTTATCGGCATAATACAAAAAGTCTTCAACTGCATGATTTTTGAAAACTTATTATAAAAAATTATAAAAATTGTTATAATATTATACGTAACAAGTTTATTTAAGTAAATAAATGAAAGCAAAAATTTTCGTTTATTAAGGAGACCACGAGGAAGGTGGCAAACACATTCAAACGAATGTCGCTCATTTAGTTACTCTCTCAAATTATCAAATTCGATGTTCAAATACATTCAAACACATATAATAGGCAACCATATTGTTTAACAGGAAAACAACAGAAAACATATGGTTTAAAAATAAAGAAATTAACGTGAACATAAATAATAAATAATTGGCTTAGTCCATCTCTGTTCAACATACCAAAAAAAAAAAAAAAAAGAAAGAACATAAATAATAAATTCATAAAAAAAATTAGTAAGGAAGTTGATATAATAGTAACCAAACTTGTCTATTGATTAGTGACAAAGAACATTGATTGGATAAAAAATTTAAATATATGAGAAGATATTGGGTAAGATCACTTTTTGAAACTGAGTTTTTGAGACATCGTTTGAGCAAATGTTTCTGCGTGACCATGAAAATAAAACAATTTGAGTATATTTCTATTTTCTATTTAAAAGAAATGGTTTTAATTGTTTGTTTTTCATTTCTTAGAGAATAATGCATGATAGAATACAAAATTGCAAATCACATAATACGAAAACAATTTGCACTAGTGTAAGACAAACATATACAGTCAAACCTGTTTTTGTGCGGTATTTTTTATGCGCTTTTATTTGTGCGATTCTTTTTGTGCGGTATATGAATATCGACACATTGAATTTCGCCGAGAGGTTAGGTCAATCTGAACTGTGTTGGCATCACTTTTTTCGCTATTGCATCAGGTCTATGAAGCTTCCTTTTGAGTTTTGCAAACGTTTTGACGAAATGAGCCCGACCTAATCCTTCAGTGGAGGTTATCCAAAATCTCACCCGGCTTGCTTAAAAGTTACAGACGCTTACACAAAGTTAAATATTTGCAAATCGTCGAAAGAAATAGATAGACAGATAGATGCGCCACAAGCCATAGGAAATCTTAATGAACGTGGACACTGAAACCGACTTGACGGCTCATTTGCACTTGTAAGTCTTCAGCTTTGACGTTACTCTCATATACTTCATATTTATCTAATACATAGCTCTACAAAAACAACTAAGAACATTACAGTCGGCTCAGGCCGGCGATTAAATATCCTTCACCACATAGTGTAACAAGTTTTTATTTTTTTACAAATTATAGAACACGAAAATTATATTTTGTTTCTATATAAAGGTATATTTTTCATGTGCACGTTTATAAGGAAGCTGGCCCAAAACGCAACCTAACACAGTGCAAGTTTAATCCTTACATGGGGGCAGGATTCAAAAGTAGGAGTAGATGCTCCAAATTTTGTAAGGTTCATTTCATTTTAGTTAATTGCTGACCTTTTAACCATTAAGACAGGATTAATATGCGCGTTTTGAACTACGACGAGTAGTATTGAATTATGTACCTTTTGAAAATTTCTCCTTGTTTAAAATTAGAAATTAAAATTTTTTTAAATGTTTCAATGTGTAATTTAATTATTTATTTTGTTTGGAAAGCACTTTCTTGCTATTTCGTAAAGCTTTGACATATTTTCTAAGTGATCCTTTTTTTATGCGGTCCCTCTCTACCGCATAAAAGAAATTTTCTTTAATATGCTGTGAAAAATTATTTCTTATAACTATTTATGAAGTTTTTGAATATTTTTTTTGTGCGGTTTTTTTTCTGCGGTCCCTATCTATCGCACAAAAACAGGTTTGACTGTATTGGATAACTAAGTTGAAAATTTGAACGAATCGATCATCAGTTTTTCTTGTGCTTTATTTTCCTTTTTGTTTTATTTTTCATTTGCTATAAAAGTTTGCAACAAATCGGTGAAGTTCAAGTCTCAGCCAGAAGATTAATGCCTCATCCTGTCACCATCGAGTGTAAATAAAAGATTTTGCAATACCTTTTCTAAAACAAAGCAAACAAAGAAAATACTTTTTCTATTGCACATCTTATTCAACCTAAAAAACTTGAAGTATTTTTGAAATATTAGTCAACAGCCCGTAGAATAATTTTTGGTGAAAAGAAAAATTTTAAATGACGCAAACAGATTATTAGATTGTTGGCTATATAATCAATTAACTTAAGCCAATCAATAAATTCAAAGCATTTTATTTAAGAATGTTATTATTATTATTTTAATTTTAGACTAATGAATTGAATTCTTAGACTAAAAAAAAGACATTGAGCACTAGCAACACAGGCTATCGGCTCTAATTTAAATAAATGGATATTAGATAATAAGCTTAATAGTATTAATAAAGTAAAATATTGAATTGATATTCTGTTCTGAAGCTGATTGTAGAATGTTCAAAGGGTTAATCTTTCCAAATGCAATACTTCTAGCCAAGGAAAAGTTGAAGCAGTCGCAGAGAATGTGCTTTATAGTTAGAGTTTGTCCACAACTGCAGATTGAGGAGGAAGACTTCTTCAAGATCCATTGGTGAGTTGCGATAGTATGACCAAGGCGAATTCTCGAAAATGTTTGGATCTTGGTTTTCTCAACGTTTGTTGGATATAAAGGTGGAATTAATTGAGGGTTAAGAATGTTATTATGAACCTTCAGGTGAAATTTAAATTTAATGGATTGAGAATTGAAACGGTGGAAATAGAGCAAAATGGAAAAATGATTTTTCAAAAAATTTTTCTTAAATAATTAATTGTTTAAGACCTTAAAACCAAATTATGAAAAACTCGTTTGCCTGTTTAATGTAGCACGGACTAATTTGCTTTTAATGGTTTACGGTTTATTAAAGTTCTTAGTTCTCTGGATTTGTCACCTTGCAAACAAGAAGTGTTGCGTTGAAACACATTAGAAAGCACTTAGTAAAATTGAAATGAAAGCTATGGCAACATTGTCAGTGGAAAAAGTCTGGCAAAAGTTGTGTACGAAATACGCAACTCCAGTAAAATAAATAAGAATAGAAATAGTGAAAATATTTTAGGTGAGGAGCAAATTTCATGAAAAATTTAGTCAACAAAAGTTGCAATTTTATCTACAATTTCTCCAAATCTATTTCAAAGTCGGAAAATTTTTATATAATGAATTAGATACGAATAAAAACGTTTTGAGTAAAGCTTCGTACAGATTACGGAAAAAGGAGTAGGCAAACGCGTACGGAAAATATAGATGACGCAGCGTGGAATACAAGAGTTATAATTTTAAAGGAAATTACGTACATACTAGAGCGAAATTTAAAGCAATCGGGACGACTAGTAGAAAAGAAATGGGGGCTGGTAATGGATATAAGAATTGTAACAATAAGAACATCATTGGATACTAAAGTATAAATAGGGAAGCCTGTAACCTGACGGTTAATTATAAAGCAAAATAACTGTGATTAAATTATTTCTACAACGCAAAAGCAAATTGTAAATTTCAATTGTCTTAAGTAGTCATTGTGCGAAGGTCCTGATTAGGTGCTGAAAACAACAACAAAAAGAAAACAAAGCACGATTGTCTATAGACTGTTTGTAACGAAATTTAACGAATAGCGTTAATCTATTATATGGCGTGCGCAAATTGGTGTGCCCCTTTTCTACTGCACCCTCCGTCATTCATGATCGCATAATTACATGGATGTATACGAGCAGTGCGTTTTTCATTTTAGTTTATAGAGGATATTTAAATTCCTTAAGATAAGTATTATATGTGTTTTATGGAAAAGTACAATTATGTACGTACATATATGTTTGTAATGTATATATATATATGTATATAGAATTTTACAAATATCTATATACATGTGCGTGCATTTGAGTGAAAGCATTTGTAACCTAATTACAATAGTGGCTATTGTTTTGCTCTGCATCAAACAGAACAAATATTTGTAATTCGTGGAGCATAAAAAGCTTATATTTCCTGTTTTTGCCGGTGTTTTTTTCGCGGCTCGCAGCAACGGTAGTTCATAAACCCTGTTGCAGTGTTTCTATAAGAGTACGTTTTGAGCAAAATGCCGCCAGCGCTTATCGGAATCGCCGAGTTCGTGGAAGAAACTCGAGATGATTACAATTCACCAACAACTTCAACATTTGCGTCTCGGATGCCAGATTGTCGACAAACAATATCTGTTCTGGAAGAGGTATGTAGAGCAGTAAATTTTATTCACAATATTTGTAAGAAGGGATATCAAACATCTTTGAAAACCAAAAACAATAGTTTGAATTCTCAGAACCGGACCTAAGTAATACGCTAAGTCTTAGTCGTAATACTGAAATTCTTTTACTTGACCCATAGTCTGCAAAATCCCCTTCGCTGTGAACTCGCTAAATTGATAAGATATTATTAGATTTGTATAATAACATATCTGTCATATTTCATAAAATTCCGACCATTAGTTTCAGTAACGACAGTTTTCATATTGTTTTGACCGACTTTCACCAATTGCTATCCAGTCGACGAACTGTCGACTTGATTCTGGGGTGTCGTTATCGCTGCTTCAGCCATTGTCAAATAACGTATGAAAAAATCCTTTCCTTACTATTTAAATATGCCTACCTTTTAGCTCACTTCCGTAAATTATCTTAAAAAAATCGTTTATATAGCTTGTCCACTTTTTAGTCTATTATGATTCCAACTGGTTATTCTCTAAAAGTGTCATTCTTTTGATGTCTGTAAGTAATACTTATTACAAGTTTGCTCCGAGTTAGCCTTGCGCATTCCATTGTACTTTCGAAGACTGAAGAAAGCAAAGAAAACGGTAATCCGGAAAATGATCGCATCCATCATATTTAATGTAATATTAGCACATCTCGTCGCCTTTTATTTTCCAAGCTTTTTTGACACTAATCTTAAGACATATTGTAGCGGTCACTATTTTGAAAGGCATATTCAAGGTGTATTCGATACGTTTAGAAACCATAACTATGTCTTATCACATTCATGCTTTTTATAGGCAAACTTGGCCCATTTATTCAATACTGTTACTCTTTTCAAAGACAAACTTGCTTACATTGGCACCGTATGAAATAACCAGAATGACGGGACATATAATTCGTTTTGGTAATCTTGGAACTAACAGCGACTTAAGACGGAGCTTTCTTAAAATATTATGAATCTGTTTCATCATCTGTTTCATGTCATTACGAAGTTAGCATGATTTGCTGTAGTTAATGTTTATTACAATTTTACTACTTTTGCTACCATGAATTAGTCTAAATCACAAAACATGAAAAATTAAATCTTTTCGCCACATAAACACTTACTTTAGCGCAAGTGTATACGGAAGGTAGCTTAAAAATTGTCCTATCCGATCCGGATTTTCCTTTTTTATATCAATCATATCATCATTAGATATATAACCGCCTTTCTTATAGTTCGAACTTGCGTTGTTAAGTTGTAAACGGGAAGTTGATATGGGTAATGATTTATTTCATGCACTGATGACATGCATTACTTCCTAATGAAGATCGAAATTTCGCAAAATAGCGCAAGGAAGGCTGTGAAGGTAAATTCGTATTTAACTAGCAAAGATACCTACCACCTTCCTTAACAGAGTTCTGTAAACGCAACAGAGTTCTATCTGAATAAAAATATCTTTCAAACAAACTAAACAAACTCAAATCTGCTTTCAGGAACTATTTTTGACAATTTTTTGAAATTGGGTATGTTAGTGAAAAATGGCTACACAACACACAAATTTGAGACTTTAGCTCGGCCAAATTGGAAAATGTCGCCCCTTTATTCACCTATATCATTTGAATCTACGCCGAAGTATCTTTCGAGTGAGCCAAAGAAAGTCGAACTTTTTCTTTACGAACTATTTTTAACAATTTTTTGAAATTCAGTACGTTAGCAAAGAAATAACTATGGAAAAACATCTAAATTTGAGACTCTGACTAGAAAAGATCGTCTATAGTCACCTATATGATGTAAATCATGTAAATGTGACGAATCACAAACACGCGATTAACAAAAACGCGGAAACATTTTCATTTGTTTTGTAATAAGAGAAGCCGCCGACAACCAAATCCGTCCATCTTCGCAGGTGTATAAGCTGAAATCGGATCAAATAAGGTGGTAGGCGTAATACCGGATTCCATCATAGGTCATGAGAAGCAAATTTGCACACAGGTCACAGGAAATCATCAATGTATTAATATACACAGGGACCCTCATGTTTTTTTCTGCGGAATGCTAAACGTCTATAGAATGCGATGTACAAGAATTAAACAACGTACGTTGCGTACGGTCAGTAAGATATTTCTTAAATCACGCAACTGAATTTTGTAAAAAAACCAGTACAGCACAACTTGTATTGACTTGTGGTCATCCTATTGAAAGTCTGTTAGGTATACCATCTCGACATGGATTGCAATATTAAATTTCTTTCATATTTAATATATATATTGCAATAAGAGAATGGAAGACCGTGTTGGTTGGATACTATTAGTTTAATAAAGGCTAATATTATAAGATTCACGCTTGATCACATAACACCTGCAGTGAAAACGTTTACAATAAAGATTTATTGACACGAAGCTTACATTTGGTTGAGTATACAGACCTCTTTCTTCTGTTGATTATTATAAAATTTTACGTCATACTTAAGGTATTTAATTTTAATGCAAGTTGCTTCTAGCATACTTGATCCTGCTACTGAAAATATAATCTTACAATAGTAAGTTTTCTTCTTCATCTGTTAACATAATTAATCGTTTTGTTGTTTTTTATTTAAATTATACGCAGCGTTTGGAATTCGATCGTGAAGGATTGGCAAAATTAAAAAAGGCTGTCAAGGCTATATACAATTCGGGAAATAGTAAGTTTTCACTAAAACGAGAAAATATCAGCATTTAGACCCTTGAAATAAAATTATAGCGCTATGTTCATGTATATAAGTGCGTGCCTGCGTCTTGTTGTGCGATTTTGTCATAGTACTGAAAAACTTTCATATCCATTTTCCGTGTTCTTGCTTAAAATATCTATAAATGAATATATACGTGCACATGTGCGCACAGACGTGAAGGACTTTTGGGATTTATTCCGAGGAATGTTAAAAATTTCTCATATAATTTTTGATTTCCTCTCACGTTGCAGCTCATGTGGATAACGAAATGTTTTTAGTACGTGCTCTCGAACGTTTGGGCAGCAAAGTAATGGATCAAGATGAACCAGATATTGGAGCAGCTTTTTTAAAATTTTCAGTGGTGACTAAAGAATTGAGCGCGTTAATGAAAACATTGGTGGGTATTAGCAGCTTAAAGGTAATGTAACTTTTTAGTTTTCAAAACTTTGATTGCAGATGCAGAATATCAACAATATTGTCATGTTTCCAGTGGATTCTATCTTGAAAAGCGAATTGCGCGGTGTGAAGGGGGAAATGAAACGTCCTTTTGATAAAGCGGCCAAAGACTATGAGGCTAAATTTATAAAAATTGAAAAAGAAAAAAAGGCTCAGGCCAAAGAGGCTGGCATGGTACGCACGGAGATTGATGCTGCTGTGGTAGCTGATGAAATGGAAAAAGAAAGGCGTTTGTATCAATTGCAAACATGCGAGGTGAGGACTAAATTGAGCAATAATCTTCAACACCAATGCTATTTTCTTTTGTTATTTACAGTATTTACTAAAATATAAGGAAATCAAAACTAAAACTGGCATTGAATTGCTGCAACATTTTATTGAGTACTATCACGCTTTGAATAAGTAAGTGGGCGTGGAAGAAATATAGTTATTGGCAATACAGGCATTGTGTGGTTAATGGAATAGGGAGAAATAGATTTAATGGACTTTAAATGTTTTATTCTTCTTATTCATATATAGTTATTTCAAAGACGGCCTGCAAACAATAGAACATTTCGGCACTTATATCAGTGATTTGAGTGAAAAGTTGCAAAAAATTAAGCAGCGCCAAGAAGAGGATCGTCGTAGTCTCCTGGAGTTGCGAACTTTGTTGCGTAGCGCTCCAGATTTTGAGAGGATAGATAATCTGCCAGTTACCGATAAAGGCGGAGGAGGCGGGAGTGGTAGCTGCGGCTTAGGATCGGGCGGAGCTGGTAGTTTAGGTTACTCTTTGCATCAACTACAAGGCGACAAACATCACGGCGTTACACGCTCAGGGCATTTGTTAAAAAAAAGTGAAGGTAAAGTACGCAGAGTATGGCAAAAGCGACGTTGTCGTGTTACCGCTGATGGGTTTCTGGATATATGTCATGCCGACGAATCTAAACCTCCAACACGTGTTAATTTGCTAACATGTCAGATAAAACCTGTACCGGATGATAAACGGGGCTTTGATTTAATCAGCTGTACGTGGTATTAACGTTAATTCGGTCTTTTGTACTTTTGTGTAATTCGCCTTTATGATTTTAAGATAATCGTCCATACCATTTCCAAGCAGAAGACGAGGCAGATCAAAGAGCTTGGATGGCTGTATTAGTAAATTGTAAAGAAAAAGCTTTGGCAAAAGCATTCCAACACGAAAATCCACAAATGAGTCCCAGTTTGGTAGAGTTACAAAAGACTGTTATCAGGTAAAATTAATATATTAAATATTGTGAATGCTAAATCCAACCAATGGACACCATTCAAGTTCCTGGAGAACTTAAAATCAATGCAGCTAGACTAACCATCTAGTCCATCCCTCAAAAAGAAACCAATAAAATCCCGATAGCCTTAGCGATCATCCTACATTTATTGTTAGAACTTATTTATAATAATAATAATACTAGCCTTAAATTTTAGAATTTTTGGTTTGCAGAGACACACAAGAACTGTTAAAATCATATTGAACTTGAGAAATCTAACAGCCTTACGAAGCAAATAAAACGAGGAAAAACCGGAACTATTGTATTACCATATGTAGATTGTTTCTCTTTCCTGAATTTTGCATACTCTTAATTAATGAACTGGTCATTTATCAATTAGTGATTACTTAAGTTTGAAAATGGGCGTGTCCAATCACAATAGCTATCGATATATGATTCATGACAGATATCGATTTAGGATATGATCCGAAAGTTTATTAACATCATTTAAAGCTTGGATGAGAAAGTGGTCGCAATCATCGCACATGCTTGTTTAGACAACGCAACCTATGTAACTATATGACTTAGAAGTTGCTAGTGAGAATGAATTCTACTGACTAATGGCCACAATTATTCGTGCATTGATAGCTTGTGGCTACACCAAACATTTGCCTCAGAACGGATATAATTTTCTTACTGATTCATTTTTATTCCTTTGGAATTACATGGGGTTCGATTTTAAAAAACGCACTAATATTTATATCCTCTTTTTAAGATACGTCCAATTATTGCCGGGTAACGATCAATGTTGCGACTGTGGTTCCCGTAACGATGTCACTTGGATAAGCTTAAATTTTGGTATTTTAGTATGTATACAATGTTCGGGTGTACATCGCGATCTCGGAGTTCATCATTCACGCATACAAAGTCTAACGCTAGATAACTTGACAACCGCTAATCTCCTGATCGCACGAGCAATGGGAAATCATGCTCTAAATGAGATAATGGAGGCAACCTTGGGCAAAGGCAAATTAGCACCAGATAGTACAATGTGAGTTATCTTGTATCTTTTTTTTAGAAACCCATCACAATATATTTAAATAATAGGGAACAACGCTACGACTTTATACGTGCCAAGTATGTAGCAAAACGTTATGTAATGCGCACCTGTGCTGATGAGAATGATTTGCGCTGTGATTTGGAGCAGGCCATTGTTAATGCTGATCTAAGTCAATTATTGCAGGTTTGGGCAGAGGGAGCTGATTTTACATGTTGTTTACCCTCGTGGGACGATGGCGAAACCGCCTTGCATTTGGCTGTGCTACGAGAGATGGGTTCAACGTTGCACATTGTCGATTTTTTAATACAAAATATGCCACCAAAGGGCCTTAACAAAGCCACAAATCCGCCCAGTATATTGAATATGAGTGGCAAAAATACCGGTTTGCATTTGTGTGCTTTACACGATCGACGAGAGTGCATGAAACTGTTATTGCGTTCGGGAGCCGACTATGAGATACGTAACTCCCAGAATAAAAATGCAATAGATATTGCCAAAGAAATGGGGCATAATATGTGCAAAGAATTGGTGAGGTTTAGGAAATGCCGCTACAATCGTTTTATAATTTAATCCTTTTTATTGAGTAGATTGAGTGTGCCATGAGACGTGAGAAAAGTGCTTTCGATCATATACAAACAGATTGGAATTTGCCTAACGAAGATGGTTCGACCGATTTTTCGGATGATGATACTGTTATCGACGAACGCGTAGGATTTCGTAAGGGTTCCTTTTTGCTCTTCTAATGTTTTAAATTTTCCAGAAATCGCGTTCGCGGCCCCCTAGTTTTGCCGGTGGTGATTCTCCAGTTTTACGTTCACGTTCATCAACATGTGATTCAATACAAAGTAGTTCTAGTCCAATAGCCAATTGTCCCAGCCGTCAATTCACTTTGCCTATGTATCAACAATCGGCCGGCACCTCACCCAAACAACAAATGTCATTGGTTCAATATTTAGGTAGCGCTGGTAATGTGAATATGATTTCCTCAGGTAGCGTAACTGGAGCTGGTGGCGGTTCCAGTCCTAGTTCAGCCTCCAGTCAAAGTGGGCGGGTAGCAGCACGCTGCAATAATGAATTCGGTACTGGTGCCCGTAAATCTACTTCAGCCGGTAATATATAATACGGAACTCAAAGAACATTTTTTGAATAGCTTTCTTTTCAAAACTTTTTAATTTTTGCTTTAAAGTCAATATGAATTCATTAAAAAAGCGTACAGCTCCAGCCCCTCCACCGGGCCCCAATTCAGCCACAACCTCTAGTTTCTATGGTACTCTACCGCATCCACCGCGTCATTCACAAACGTACGATTCGAATGATGTAAGAACGCACAATAACAAAAATCACTCAATGGACGCTTCATATGGAACCTTACCGCATTTGCGCTCTGTAGACAGTAGCCCGCGTATAATACATAATAGCGCAACTGCATCAGGACACCAAGTCGGATTTTATGAACGATACGATAAATTGATATCACAAGACCCAGGTGGGCCGTCTTGTCACATAATACCAGCCATGACAACATTCGGCCATAAGCGCTCACCCAGTGGTGAATCATTGAATCGTAACTTACATTTGGCTGGAGCAAAATTGGTGTTACCAACAAGTGGGGAAATGCCGATGTTAAAACATGTAGATAAATCTTGTTTAATTCGGCCGAAAATCCCACCACCAGGACCACCGTCAGCAGGTATCGCTATTAAAGTTTGTGGTAAAAGTTTTAATTGATAAATGAAACACTTTTGTAGAACGTGAAATTGCTAATGGTCAATCAAACAAAGTTTTCACGTCGGCCGATGAAGGCCCTGTAGCACCGCCTCGTAAGGTAAAACATAGGCTTCTTATCAACTAATTCTAGTTATCTTTCCTACATGCATATTCAAGAATATCATCACAGTTAATGTTGTAAATTGCTGTTTATTTGATACCGTTTTTTCTTTTTTTTATTATTTCGCTAATTTTTAAAACAAATTTCTTTTTTATCAACCCAAAACAAACCAACATCAAAACCGAAAACACAAACTTATCTTTTAGCGCAAATATTCCAGAATAATGAAATTATCACAGCCTAGTGAAGAAACGGTAAACAGAAGCATTAAATTGTTATGTTGTTGTTGCTATTATAATTTATTGCTCCTACTATTAGTGTTATTGCAAGTGCTGTTTTAAGTGTCAAAAGCTTATGTACTAGTGACTGCGTATGTAAACATTTAAAATGAATGTTTTGCCGTTTATTCAATTGTTATTATTAACAAAAAGTACAAAAGTTGAAAGTAAATAGAAAAGATTACTGATATTTTCTAACAAATTTAACTTTTTTTTATGACTTGTTGCCATTACATTTTATTTATTGTCTTTTGAAAACTTAGTTTAAATCCGTCTTCTGGTTGGCTTACTTTTCTTTTAGTTAATGAATCAACCAAAAAATTATTCAGACGTTGAAGCATGGCAAGAGGACACGATTTCGTCTGGTCGTATTATAGATAACATTGGTGAATCAATATCATCGAGTGATAATGATCATGCCCTTTCATCAACTGATAATACCTTAAAGTTGTTCAACACAACTAGCAATATAACCAAATGTAATAATGTAAGTAGGTTAACCTTAACTCAACTAAATCCCTTAATATTAAAAATTGAATTAGAAAAAGTTTTGATGATTTCCAGATCTGAACTATTAAGTAAAAAATCTTTTATAGTGAGGTAAAAGCTATATTAATTTATAGGTGCTGAGGATAAGGAAGAGCAAATAAGCTAAAAATTTTGAACTCATCAGCTGCATTGACACCTATAAAAAATTAGTTTATCTATACCTAGGAAATTTATATAGTATATGTCTAACGTGTTTTTTATGATAGGAACTAATCGTCGTATTTTTCACATATTTCACTTTTTTTTTTTAATGATTTGAGTAAAGACTTTTTTGCAGTTAAAATTGCTTTAGTTCATGATTATTCAGGTCCTCACATACCAAATTTCCCGATTAAAAAACTTTAATGCCTGTGTGAGTTTACGCAAACGGTTGCTTATCATGTCCGTGTTCGATATCATCATCGTCTAGCGGTTCGTACTCAATATTTTTCTCCGTGGGTATGTATAGCAGAAATACAATATAGTAAACCAGCTTTAGCATTTATATGCTCTTTACAAAATTCTTGAAATTGTTGTAGTGATCTATTATGACATATATTCTTTTAGCTCAAAGTTAGGATGATGTTATTTGTTAATTGCAACCGCTTGTGACACTTGCAAGCACCTACTATATTACATCTCTTGCGATTTTGAACGGAGCGCGGCTGATTTTCTCTACCAACTCCATTCCGGCAAGACATATAAGATACTGTTAGCTAATAAATTGCCAATTGTGGTTTGTGCCAGTTAGGAATGTGAAAATTTATTTCTCTATTTTTGCAAGCGCGTTCACAGAAATGATATTCAGCATATTTTTGACATTATATTCAGAGGTGAGAGAAGATCTAATGTAGCGCATTCCTTCGAGAAGACTTTATTTGAAAAACGTTGCTGCATAAATACCAATTGCAAAACGTTTGTAGTTTGAACTGCTTTTGGCTTTGATTGGCCACTTCCAAATATATGACAAAAATTTGGAAAATATTGTTCGATAACAGTGGTTCTTAAGGGTAAAGGAATATATGTATACATATATATTACATATCTATGTCTAGTGAAACGCAAGAAAGTTTTAAAAATTTTGATTTTTGTGACATTGGTGAGTATTTGAATTAGAACGTTGAGTTTTCGACATCCTTTTGTTTTTATTAATAAAAAATGTTTCAATTAAATTCCCGTCGTGTTTTATTAGAGAATTTTGTTTTAAACAATAAGTCTTCAAAATTAATAAAGACATTGTAAATATTTATTTGAACGCAAAAGATAAAACTTATTGCTGTTACACTTCGTTTTGAAAAATTGTGTTTCAAAAAGAAAGCATGTTTTCTGATTCATTTCGAGTTCATTTCATGTTCAGATATTCTTCCTTATCTTTTCCTTCGAAGGTTTTCTCGCAGCAAGGCATCGCTTTTGCCCCATCTGCCAAAGACAAACACGGTCGTGTTACGTTCTGTTTGAACCGACAAGAAAATTTGTAATAATTCTATAGCCAATTCCATAATTTTTTCAACATTTTAACAAAGTATAATCCAATAAAAAAAAAATTTGCAATGCCTTAAAGGAAATATATGTTTTTATTTAAGGTTTCTTGAGATACTTGCCTCACAAACAATATGTGTATTATATTATATTTCTTAAATATTAGAAATTCAGTTTTTCTTAAAGATATCTTTAGACAGAAGAACATTAACTCCTAATTTTTAATTATTTTCAGTCTGGCCATCGCCGCTGTCGTGCTTTATACGATTGTTCGGCTGATAATGATGACGAGTTGGAATTTAAAGAGGGTGAAATATTAATAGTACTCAATGAACGTACAGATGATGAAAATTGGATGGAAGGTATTATTGAAGGTGATCCTACTCGGCATGGTATGTTCCCGGTTAGCTTTGTACACATGTTACCAGATTAATGGAAAGCCATAAAAATAACGAAAACATGCTAAGTTGTTTACAAGAAAATAAAATGTCTAAAAAAGTTGCGGATAGCGCTATTATAATCAATTAGAAGAAAGACGAAAACTATTTTAAAAAATGTAGAAATCTAAATTTCTCAGCTTGCCTTCCTTTTGTTCAGGATTGTACAATTTTTGAAAAATAATCTGTGTTGTATTTTTTACCTCATAAGGTTTTCACATTTAAATTTTGAACTTAAAATTTTTTTTTTTTTATTTTATTTACGTACTACATAAAGGCAAAATTAGAAACTTTGGAAAGTGTTGAAAAATTTTGAGAATTATCTCAAGCTATCATATATTTCACAGAGTATTAAAATCCTTTACGTATGCTAAAAATTTGTCTCCTATAGATCGGCAGTTATTTTATCTGTCCCCCGCTCTTTCTTCCTCGCCCTTGCCCTTTTACAAAAAAAATTGCTTGTATAAAAACTTCTTAGAATTGCATACATAAGTCAAAACCCCTTTCTTACAAGCTTCATCATAAAAAAACTAAAAATTAAATACATTTGCCCTTTTATTCTGCCATAACTGATTTTTCTGTTACGACTAAATAATTAGATCCGATTTTGTTGCTATAATATATACATCACGGAAATTCTAATTATTAAAATACAGAGCATGTAATTATTTCGAGAATCAAAAAAAATGAACTAAAAGCCAATTTAATTATGCGATACCACGAACCTCCATTAAAAAAATTTGTGTTAATATTACTATCTTTCAATGAATTTGTATTGTAGAACAATTTAATACTTTAAAAATTGTAAATATAATTTTTCTACCATATCATGTATAAATATTGATACCTAGATGTTAGATGACAAGAATTTTTTTTTATTTTTCTAATTATTTAATTATTTGTTTGGTTATGAGGCACGAAGCAACTCGGCAAAGAGTTCAAAATATCAGCTAAATCACGTATTTAACATAAATATAAAACATAGAGTTTTAAAAGCCAAAATTAAAATATAAATTAAAATAAATATTAACAACAGTAAAAAATTGCAATTATAAAATTTTAGTGACAATTAAAGAAATAAATGCTAAGAAAAACATGCACAAAAGAGAGCGTACTAAGTGTCCAAAATACAAGGTGTAAAGTAACATTGATCTTATAAAGTGAATCCGACAATAAGTTTGGGAGTTGTTTTCGGTGCAATATGAAAATATTCGTTACTATGCCACCATTCTTTAGGGCGATATATTCGCTTTAAGTATGTGGATAATGGCTCATATGCATTTTTTCACTTTTAAAGAAGTCCGCTCCCGTAAAAAGGATTTTTTTATATACCATGTGATTCGAACTAATATTTGAAGTGTATCAAGAATCATTTAAAACGCTTGCATATAAGCAATAGCAATATGAGAAATATTTTTCTATGTACATTTCCCCACACGTAGTTTTTCTAGGAAAAATCTTCACAAAATGCATCACTTGACTGACCATTAGATTTCGGCTTATTGATCAAACGCAATACGGATTTTTAAAATTTCCAGAAAGTTTTTGTGGTGAAGTGTTATGCTTGTTTACAACTATTATGTACATTCCTTCAATAAAGAAATATTATCTGCCCAAAAATGGGTTAAGTTGAATGAATATGGCAGACCGCGATTAATGTTTTCTTAATAATATCAACGATACGGGTATCAAACAAAAGAACTTGGAGAAAAGAGTGCGAAAAACATAGTGGTGGTTATGTGAGATTCGGTCCCCGCCAAATAGAACCTTCTTGTTTTTGGTTGCTTTGCTACTACGGACATATTTTCATCAGCAAACATTAAAAATTAAACTTTTTTCTGAAGGGCTTACTATTCATGAGAAATCTTATGTGGAGAGAGGTGCAGGAAAAAGACCTCTGTGTTTTCGGTCCATTTATTTAAAAAAATTATTTTATGTCAAATTACTCTTACGTTTTATTTAAAATAACACGCTTTTGAGCGTGTAAACGTGTACATTTCCTGAGAATCCAATATAGGCATTCAAAAAATAGACCTACGAGTTTGAAAATCGGTAATGTTGGTTTCTTTGTCAATTAACTATTACCAGCTGATTTTCACCATGAAATATTGAAAATTAGATCTTCTTATCATATAGAGATTACGCTACGTTGAAATATTCTTACGCACAGAGTTTTGTCCAAGAATTTTGCAAATTGCAATTTTTTAACGACCTTTCAAAGTAAGGCGTTATATAGGGAGTGGTTAAGAAAGTGAACCGATCCGAACAACGCAGGATTGGTCCGTGGGTCAAAAATGGCGTGCGTATCAAATTTCATCACAAATTGCGATTTTCCGGTTGAACACAAATTGACGTGGTCACGCATTAGGACAGATTAAAAAAATAATTCTCAATCACATTGTACAACACATTTCTTATTTTTGCTATAGGATATAAAATGAAGCATTGAAAATTAGACTTTTTTGGCATACGAAACTCAGTTTTCGTTATAAAAGAGGTGTTTCAAAAAATTCACAACATCTTAGAATGCTGAAGTGAACCTGTAGCTTCGACACAAATTTACATGGACATGCATCAGGCGGACAGTCAGGCTCAGATAGATTCAGAATGATTTTCGTATCCCTAAACAAAAGTGTATGAAGTTTACAACTAACTGAGTTAAGAAGCACGATCGTTAATTTCGAGTTCACACCGCGAAATACTTGGTAAACAACGAATATGGAGTCTTAGTTTTTAATGTTGTGCACACTAGCCGGCATGAAGCAATGTCCTTCGGTTGAAGAAAAGAGAATTTAAATAATTTAAAAATTTAGATAGCTCAGCAGTTTCATCAGAACCCACACGCGGTATAAACATTTCCAGGTTGGAACTTCAGGACTCAAACTAGTGGAAAGTTTGAAGCGGAAAGACCTTGCATAGTCGTTGAACACTCCGAATCGTCGTCTTCGCTATGCCTTTGTCAGCACCCCAGACGGCAAAGAGTACTCGCCCAAATTTTCATTTGGCGGTAATAACGCCAGACGACAACATCAATCCAACATTGGCCAAATCTGTCCGATTGATCGTTGCCGGGAAAACGGAATGCACACTAGACGAAAACTTCAAAGCAGCATTAATAGACATAGATTATGCTATTGTTTGCTGATGCTAATTTCCGTATCACTTGCTATGCGGTCAGACGCAGTCGCTTTCTTAGAATCATGACCCATGGTGACATTAGTAAACTCATCAACACCACATAGATCTCGAAGTATTGACCTCCGTCAAAGGCAGTGTGTAAATCGTCAAATAGCTTGGCTAATTCGCAAACGGGCTTTGCAATTTTCCCAAAGTCAGTCCTGGTGTGGAAAACTAATGTATGCAGGTTCACCTTCTTTAGTCTACAATCCATATAAGACCAGGAGACCTTTACATTTGTCCATGTTAATATCGAATGTACAACATTACCGGCACATTTATGATGAAACTCCTATTTGCAATATTGGCAACCCAAATATCGCTCATCAATATTTACAAATTTAGAGTTAGGCTATTCCCGGCGCCGAAAAAGTAAATGATGAGCGCGGACAACTTCAACCGCATGATTGGCCGAATAGATAAGATTCACGTAGGCAAAGTCAGTATTCGCGGGCTCACGTCTTAGTGCGCTCGAATTAACTTTGGTCGTAGTTGTAGTGAGCGCTAAGTCGGTGAAGGAAACAGACTTATCGTTAAGCCTCACATCTAGTAAGCTGCGGCCACCATCTCCATATTTCTTTCTTTCTGTTTCCCTCTTCTTCCCGGCCATCCCCGCCTTACGCGAGTAGCAGATATCTCCTGAGTGATTGGTCATATTATAAAAAAAAAAAATTAATCCTGCAATACAAATTTTATTTGCGTTGTTATTTTCATGGCTGAGATGGATGTTGGAGCATTTATTATTATTGTTGTTTTAAATACAAGAAGTACTAGCGTGACAACAAACACCGGTTGAAAAATGTATAAGCATGTTTAATTACCAAATATGTTAGGAAAATTCACGATAAAATTTTTTGTTCACAAATAAACGCGGTACGAGCACAACGCAACGTTGGTGAGATGTCATTTTTAAAATGCTTACAATGGTAATATTGAAAGATTCGTCTATTTTCTATAGGGAGCTACCGGAAAAAAGTCAACAAGTGAAGTTACAAGAGAAACATATGAAAACGCAATTTGCTTAAAATTCGGATACTCCTGGGACGATTACTGAATAGCAAACGAATGAAATTCTATCTAACTGATCGTGCACTTGCACCTGGGTCTATTCTTCACTCATCCTGCCAATTGGTCCCCCTTCGGCGCATAGAAAGTTTTATAGGACACCCCGAATTTGAGTCCGAAGAACCCTAACAGCCAACTTTCATGATTTAAATTAAAAAGTATTTTTATTTCATCTTATTTTTTGCAGATTGTATAAAATTTATTAAGGTAAAATGTATAAAAGTTATCGGTAAAAATATATGTATATGATTAAGTATATGTAAATATGAACATATATTTGAATGAATATATATGTGCACGTAAACATGTATGCATATATAATATTTTACGAAAAAAGACTAATTTGGTGTATACGAATGGTTTGTCGAATTGAAATAGTAATTATGAGCAATTTTTTCTAATTTGAATGTTGACATAAAAGAAATCAAAACAACTCAAATAATTTGGGAATATATTATAACAAAGTTTTAACAATACAAATCGGTCATGATCACCTTAATATGAATTTTTGCTCAATGTATTGCCTTTCTTTATTAATCATTACTTTATTATTAAAGCATATATCTTTGTTATCCCTTATGTCCATAGTTTATTTAATGTCTTACTAACTCAATTGTAGAATAAATACTTACAAAGAATATAGTAACCATGGCCAGTTTCCTTGTATTTGCTCTTTTAACCTTTAATTGAACGCACGATGTCATTGTATTATAACACGTTTCAATTCTCTTCTATGGAATATGCCTACGTTCGTTCCCTCTTTTTCACATCAAAATTTTCGTATTGACTATCAAGCATGGTACATATATGCGTAAGTATATGTGAACGGGACAAGCAATTAAGTTTAATTAGACGATCTTTAGAGTAAAGTCTTCCATAATCATCAAAATTTCGGGATTTGCTTATAATTTTTACTTTTACGTAAACTAACATTCAATCGTCCTCTTTTTATTTATTCTTAAACACAGGTTATATTGGAGGAGACATAATCCGACTTAAAATATTTTTATTTTCTTCACTTTTAAATGACTTTTAATGATTTACAATAAAAAAATTACAAGATGTATGCAAAGTTTATGTTCCCGGGTTTTCCATTA